GCACTTTAATGAGAATGTAAACACAATATATAAAATTTAAGAAGGCTTTAAGGAAACAATCCTCAGCTTACCTGTACCGTCCCGAGTCTTAGACAATTGCCCAGTAATACAAGGGTCTCAGTACTTCAGCTTGGATTCAATTTCATGCAAACCTGTCAGAAAATGTTACTATAAATGAAACTAAAGAAGGGCCAAGAGATTTTTATCAGATCCTGAATATTAACAAGATTAGCAGTATAAGTCACCAACCCCTTATTTTACCGTAATTGTTTTGATTTTCCATTTTATTCCAAGAAAACGTATCTGAAGAAATACTTGAAAATAAATGTTAGAAGAGTTATAGATCAATGGAATCTTTAGATAAATAAAAAATATAACACTTAAAAGACCTCTTAAGAGGTTTATTGTTGTTGTTGATGATGTTCTATGAAAGAGAAAAGAAACTGCAACAACAAAAAAAACATTTGGATGCTTCCTCTTCCAATTTTTTGCATGTGAGAGTTACTCTAACAAAGGTGATGGCCACAGTGCAAATTTGCCTCATGTCCCAGTAAATGTCCTAGCCCTCTGCCCGGTGCCTCCCCAAGAACAAAGGCCAACTGCGTGTTGCCTGAGTGCATGGCTCCATGAGTGCTTCTGTCCCTAGCAGGTGCAAAGGCCAACGGGGATGTGCAAGCCACTTCAAGGCAATCTGCTTGAGTTTGCAGTGGGGGGTGTTTCCTCCAGTGTGGTGGAAAGCTGATTTCAGAAGATGTTCCTGCTGGTTTCAATCACTTAGGATAATTTTTTTGTGACTTCACTGTTGCTTCATCTATAATGACAGGGGCTGAGCTGCTCAGAAAGGCTAGCCTTAGCCTCTCCATCTTGCAGAACCTTAAAATCCAAGCTATGGGACACAACAACCTGGCTGTGGGGAGTTGCCGGATAGATGGGCCCCAAGCTACCAACAAAATTCAGGTTCAAACCTAAGCCAAGCATGTGATAATGACACCCTCCAAACCAAAACACAAGACCTGTAGGTAATATCACTTGCTTCCATTGCTTCCTTGCTTCCATTGGGTTTCTTTCCTTTATTTTCATCTGCTTTCACTGCATGTTTTGTGGTGCTGCTGCCAAAGCTACCAAAAATATTACAGTTGAGAGTCTTGGCTCCTACACAGAATCCTTTTGCCTTTAAACAAACTGATAGTGAGAGAAAGTGTCTTTACCTCTTTAAAATACAGTCCACTGAGGACAGATACGTAGGCTTACTTGGTGACTCTGAATCATCTAAAAAACAAAACAAACAAGCAAAAAAATTATTATTATTATTATTATTATTATTATTATTATTATTATTATTATTACAATACTGCACACATTAACAGCAGCAAACGCCATCATCTGCAAAATAAGCTGTATAAATGAGCCATTTTGATCAGGTAAAAATGCAAGGAAGTGACGATGCTTTTTTTCTGAATTTTAGAACTCTTAAGGAGTCTCAGGGGAACAAAATGATAATCTGCATCTTGATCTGCTGCTGGGGCACCATAGAAAAACTAATGTTCAGGTCACAGTTGACTGCTTGATTTTCATTCAGACAAAACTTGCCAAAGAATCAGGCAGGTGTAAAGATTTATCTGTAAAGACTGAGATAACACAAGCAGCATGTTTGCTGGAAGTAATATGCCTCGCCACTGTACATGTACACCTCCCTGCTCCACAGCAAAGCAAAAGAGCACAGGCAGACTTAAAACATCCTGAGTCATCCTGGGACTTCAAGCCTATTTATTCTACTTTCCAAATTTTGAAGGGGTAAGACTATGCACATGTTCAGCTTCTTCATCTGGTCTGAAGAGTGCCATTTTCTCTGCACATGCTTTCTGACCATATCCTATGGAAGAAGTAGGGAGGATCTAAAAAATTCTTAAGTGAAAATATCTGTGAATATTGTTTTAGCTGCAAAACATTATGGATCAGGATTTCCTTGGTCACTGCTTACTGTAATTAACTTCTTGAGAATATTTTTTGCTAACTGCAGCTCATAAATAACTGTGGTTGGATTGGCCCAATTACAGAACATGAGCAGACTTTTCATAAATAAAATACCCTTGATGTCTTCACACTAATTGTTCTGTAACTCTAGCCTCGCTTGTCCAGGAGTAGCTGTGCTAATACACTGTAAATCAATTTAGCCGTTCCATTCACACATTGACAGACTCTGTGACAAACAGGATCACATTTCCTATCTAGACAGTCCCTACTAAGCAGTCAGATGGAACAGAGTAATTTGAACAGGTTCACATTAAAAGATACATATTACCCTGAGGAAGATGTCATGCTCTTATATCTGTCCCTATCCCTACAACAACTTATTCTTCTGTTAAAGAGCTAAATGTTCTTTCTGTGGTCATACTCATTACAAAACTTCAGCAAAACAAAATGAAAACACTAAGCAATTAAGAAAAATAATGGCTCTATCATTCCTTAAAGAGCACAGTTTAACAGCTAGTGGTGCAGCTAGCTTGGTGCAGCTCTGAGGTCTGTAGTCCCCAGCTGAAAGCCTACACGTACTGTCATCAGAGCATCTCCAGATGTGTGTGGAGCATGTCCAGTATGCAGGACAGGCATAGGGTAGTGATAGGGATAGGGAGAACTTGTTCTTATCCATGTGCTTGCAGATTCTGACTTTTTTTTTTTACTTCTTTAGCATCAGTGTCTTTTATCCACCACTCAGTCTTCCGATTTTGTCCAAGGAAAGAGCAGCTGGTTAGCACCGTGACAGCATAGACTTCTGTCTGGTTTGGGAAAACAGCAATACTTTGGGCAAAATTTGTCTTAGACATGCAGAGGCATTCTGCCTTCTTTAATGCCAGACACCAATAAGGTAAGGTGTTCGTTTAGCAAGAAGAGCAGCACTTTATTAGAACAAACCACATCAACCTGCTGCTTGCATTAGGCAAGAATATTGGGTTGGGTTTCAGAGTGCTGTATTAGTGATACCACCAATTTCTCTTTGTTTAATAACCTTATGCAGTTCATTTTCATTAGCTGTTATAGTTTAGTTATTTGAGCCTTCCCCTGCTTGCAAGATGAGAAGTTGAACATCCCCAGAAAGCTGATCTACTCAACATGAAGATAAGATTTTTGCTGAAAGGAAAATGTGTCTTTTCATGGAAGGCTTTAGCATAGCTACCTTATCACCTTAAGAAGTGATAGATGTAACAATCCTGGTTAGGTCTCTCCCTCCCACTCTCTTAGGGGAAGAAAACTAGGCAGCACATATCACTTTGAAGAGTAGAGTTTGGCTGTGTCTGCTTCCTACTTATCTGGTAACCAATAGAGCAAGCAGCAGTCTTCAGCCAAAGAAGATTCAGATAATTTTATTCCCAATTGCTTTTTGCAATTCTTATCTACCTCGTTTCAGGGGTAGATAAAGCTTTCCTGAGGGTACTTGGTGATTTTATTCCAGCAAACAAAGAAGCAATGAAAAGTAATTTACCTTCTGAAGTATACTGCATCTTGCAAATATCTCCTGGTAATGAAGAGATGCTCAAGGCTATGTTAGATCCAAACCCACCCTACTGTAAAGAACAAGATCTTTGACAGTAATTTCAGTATGGTAAAGTCAGACACATAATGCACATTAGCAATGCATCCTTCTTAGTGCAGACACCCTGCTCTGCATATAAGGACACATAGACTTAAGATTCAATTACACAAGGTGCTGAGTGCTCTGGCCATGAACTAGTTTGTGAGCAGCTACACTGAGAACGATCTATAAACCCACAGTCTCTTCGTTCTGAAATGTTTTGTTGGCAGTGAGAGGAAGGCCAGGGTGCAAGCCCACTTTAGGTCTTTTGAGACTCCTGGAACACCCAAACCAGAGGCTGGTCATTCATCAAACAGAAAAGCCATGTTCAAAGGCAGAAATCAAGAAGAACTTCAAAACTGAGGGTGCATATGCCCATGCAGTGCCAATGAGAACCAGAAGAGACTGCATGACTTGGGGGATCAACATTTACTCACAGTCATGCATGAGTAGGAGAGCAATGACAATGAGCTATGATCTTTCCTTTTCTCATCTTCCCACAGATGTTAAGAAAAATGATGGTTTACACCAAGTAATTCAGTGAGAATACAATTACTAACCCTACTTTGGTTTTGCCATAAACCTTCAGTAGGGGAGCTCTGAATTAAGAAACCAAGCTGGCTGTAACTACATTTTGTTAGTGTGAGTATAAAACTAATTTTTACTAAGTCTCTTTTTACAGCCAAGAGTTCTTTTTCTTCTCTCTTTACAGCTTATAAAACACCTCAGTAATAGAGAAGGAAGTGTGAAAATGTATTCTTAAGTACTTACCAAAAAAATGTCCTTATTCCCAAAGAACAAGCTCAATCAGAGACACAGTTCACCGTCACATTGCCCCACAAACAGTCCTTTGCTGTGGCATCAAATATATGCCAAAGTACTGTTATTTGTAGTTTTCTGCATCATGAAACACATGAGGTCTCCAAGAACAGAGAAAGACCTCACTACATGGGGAGGTACATGCCTATGGAGAGCCACCAGGAGCTTGCACTGCTTGTTTCAGACTAAATTTGTGCTCAGGTAAAATGTGCACACAACACTGGGAACTCAGGAGCTTCTCTTTCCTACCTATGCCCTTTGCTTAATTTATTTGTTTTTAGTGTTGATAGCTTTTCTTGATTTTAATGTGGAAATTTTCAGTTGTCTTAGCTGTAGTCCTAAAACAAAAACAGTTGTCTCAGCCATAGTTGCAGGATGACAGAAGTGTTAATAAAAAAAAAAACTTTAAAATACCTTAAAACTGATATACTAACTGGAATAAAGCATTTGTCAGCTAAATTGCTTAGCATTAAGGGGAATATGAGTTAGCTGGAGAGGTTTATTTTGACCACCGGAGGGCTCCTACATTTTTTTGTTTATTAAATAAAAGTACTAAACAGTGGCTGGCCTCATTAAAAGTTATTGAAAGAATAATCTGCAGCTAGAAACATTTTTGATGAATTTCACCTTTATTTCTAAGTGAACTATTGTGTACAGACTGTGAAGGTAATGAACCTATAAATTATTCAAAGCTAGTCACAAGTACTTTCATCAAATATTTTCAGATTTGCAAATGGTTCAAGTGTTGACATTGCAGTTGAATATCTGGCTCACAATTTACATTGTCACTTAAACTATTAACGTACCAAAGACCATCTAAACTTTTAATTATGCATTCATTTGTATGAATTATTTAATTTCTATATAATTTGCCATATAGTACAAATGTACAGATAAAAGGCCACTGCAGACAAAGGAAAAACTTCTGGCTATTTGTGTCACTTTCAGATGAGGCTAAGCTTGCATATTGCTCATCCCTTCTGCAGTTGTATCATTGAGAAACAGAGAAACATCACTAATTTCACCTAGACAAAAAAGCAGCTAGCATTTGCATTTTTTGTATCCCACCATACAACTGAAATGATGCTTTCAGGGATTGCTTGAGCTTTAAAAACTGATTTGCACGTCTTTTGGGGACAGGAAGTCAGGATCCTTTCTGATCTCTGTGGAAAACAAAGTAGTAGTTATTTTCGGGGTCCAAATCAAACGTGGTTCTCACATCACTGACTTTCACCTGATATGCGCATCATGGTCAGACTAAGTCACAAGCTCGTCTCAGCTTCCTTAACAATAATAGGTCACTTGACACATTCATTGGAGCTCTGATGAGTTAGAGGATCTGGCCCTATTTACAGTTTAACCCAGTTTCTTCTAGTTCCAGATCTCCAGTGCCTTCTAGGCCAGCAGGGCCTGGCTGCCGGTCCCTGAAACTTCTCACAGATTTTATTCAGTCTACAGTTAGACCTCTGTGCGGAAGATACCATATCTCTAGATACCACTATTTTCCTTATGCAGAATATATACAATGTCAGTCCCTTGGTCAGTTCCGCTCAGATATGTATATTTCTCCTGTTTTCTCTTGGTTCATGCTGTTTGTGTTACCAGCAGAGAAGCTTTGCTGAAATCTCAAGAGAGAACTGTCATTTTTCATCATTCCCTTGCAAATGTAACTTCCTTTATACGACCACTTTGGCTTTGCTCAGTACTTGGAGTTCTACTCATGAAACAGACATCAGGTAGGCATTATCCAGTTGAACACTGTATGGTTAGCATAATTTACATGATGGAGCCAAATTAAATATGTCAGGTTGACAAAAATCTCTTACTACAAGTTAACAAACTCCTTTATGCACTCCTGATGACAGACAGAATGTTTCACACCCTTTAAAGTGAGAGGTTGCTGGGAGCCTAAGGAACTAAACCCCTCAAGTTCTCTGGCTTCCAATAAAAGAGCGGAGCAGTAAATATTTATCTACATTATAGGTCCCACTCATAAAGTAACTGAAATGACAAAATACCTTCTCCAGGAAAACAGAAGCAGGATAGGAAAAAATAATTCTCATAATTTGTTTATTTATTTATTTAGATCTACTATGGGTCTTTAACATTTTTAAACATTCTGAAGAAATACGGCATGAGGCCTTCAATCCTCCTTAGGCTTTAATGCTGGGGCTGGAGGGAGTTTCTAAAAGCAATGCACAATGTATTAATGCATTTTCCACATTCTTCCATTTCCACTTAAAATACATAATATGTATCAAAACTTTCACATTGATATGGAATTACTCAAAGAAGGACACTTACCTTAAGCCCACTTTCCACTTATTTGCATGCTTGCCTGTCTTTCCACCAAAACACCTTATCTGCTTGAAGCCGAGCCTCACTGCCCTCCAGTGTGATGAAATCTCAACACCTGCAGGAAAAAAAACAGATCAGCAATAGTCAAGTCCTTGGTAAGTTTTGAGGAGCCTGTGTCTCTTTTCCTTTTAGAAATATAGAAAGTTCTTCTCATTGTATGTTTTAGTCAGGTTCATATCTAAGCACAAAGACTGGTTACAATAGGAAATTCTTGAGGTGGAAAAAATCATCCACACTCTGGGTTTGTCCTTTCTCCTCTAGAAACTTACCTCCGGGTTGCTTCCCCTCCTCTGGTTCTTGCCTCACTTCCCCAGGACTATTGTAATCTCGTCTATGGAGTATGATGCTCTTTGAAGTACAGTTTGGACAGAACTGACTTAAATCAAGGTCAGTTTTCCTCATAGAAAACTTAATGTAGAAAGATGCATTTTCTGATTAAAATAAATAAATAAATATGCATTCCAATAGAAAGATCCTGCCTGGCTCATCTTCTGGGGTCTTTTTTTCTCCTCAGATAAAAACAATAACCCCCACCACAAAAAGACAAAAGCAAATGTCACCTGAGAGGAGAGGATGAGCAAACCATCCGACAAAAAACCTCTGAACTTGAACTGCTTCCACATTGCCAGATTGCCTCCAGCCAGTGCTCTCCTTCATCACCCCCCTCCCAAAGGATGTCAAGATCCATTTCCTTTCATGCCAAACCGAATCCAGTTTTGGGTTAGGTGTGACCAACCTCCCTCCTTCACTCCTGTGAGGCACCTCCCCTCTGCAAGGCCAAACTTCCCTGGGTCAGGCTGCTGGATGGCCGGTGGGTCGCTTGGAAAGGCCCTGCCAACACACATGGGCATCCCTGGCACCTCACGGAAACCTGAAGTTTCTCTTTGTGTTGGTTTTATGTAGCACTGTATGGGCTGCTGCAGGGAAAGTTAACATCCCAGCCAGACCCAGTACACTCTTCTGGAGGAAAATCTGCAAACTGGCATGGCTTCTCCCACACGGCAGATCCACAGTGCCTGTCTTTTGATGTAGACTTCTTATGTTTGTCAGCCGGATGACCCAGCAAAACCCAAACTCCAAATTCACTCCTGTAACAAAAATTCTCAAGTTCAGAAGATCAGGCATGCAGCTCAGGTACATAATCAGCTTTAAGGCTCATTCTTCAGGTTCTGATATAGATCTGGTGTATTACTTTGGATATATTGTGTACCCTCATGGTGATCACAAAACTGTAGTTCCCTGCTGTTTGTCATTGCCATGTAGACTGTGAAAGCTTGATAACAGGGACCACTCCTCACCATTCCTTTCTGGATAATATGCCAAGGCCTCACCAGTGATCAGGAGTGAGTATAATAGAAGTATACAGAGAAACAACATTTCCCAGTTTTAGTCAAAATTTGGCAGAGAAATAATTTATTTTCCAAGTGCTGCTTGCTGGGCTCTGTTTCAGCCTCTCATACCCAGTACACTGCACAGATTGTATCTGCTTATATACCTCGCAGGGCCACAGCTCCTGTGTAACTTCACCATAAAGCTGGAGTGACCCAAGGGTTGTAAGACTGCTTTTAGCACCAACAAGCTCTTCCCAAAGGCTCTCACACTGATGACACTCGTGTGCATGAGCTGACACAACACAACACAACACAAACATCTGCAGTGACAGCAGACAGAGGACACTGTCTCCTAGGCTCAAAAAGTGCACACAGCTATGGCTCATGTGTCAAGATAATTGCTGGAGGAACTGAGCCTATAACTCTTCCATGGCCAATTCTGATCCCATCTCATCCCATCTTCTCAGTGTTAGCCATCCTGTTGTATGTAAAACATGCTCTTATTTCACTCATCTTTTTAATTATGGTAGTAGAGGTTTAGCCCTGAATTACATGCAGTTAAGAAAGCTTCCCACCGTCATGAAAAAGAACCCCTTCATGTTTTGTATCTTTAATACAGCTAATTTGCAGGGTCCTTTAAGAGCAGCTGCAAGCTTTATGTGTCAAACTACCACACAACAAAAGAGAGTGTGGCAGTGCGTTGTGGGTTTTGCTGACACGGCACACTGTTTCAATTGAAAACAAGAACTAGAAAGAGCAGTTTGAGAAACCTGACACTAGCTGTTACCTTTTGGAATCACATCTTAAAAAATAAAGACAAGCATACATTTAATTTTTATTTTTTTTAATGCAAGTGTGTTAGATGCTGTTGGAGACACAGGTGATGGGCAAGTCCTTCTGAAGAAACATCTGTTACAAAGGACAAGAGAGGGAGGTGGAGAAGGTGCCATTTTTCTATCCCTATAGTAAACACCTAATGCAGCGTAAACAGAGCAGGTCATGCGGTAAAACATCTTTTTTAATCATCTGAATAGAAATTTAATATCTTTGCATTTGCTAAGTAAGGCAACTTGCCCAAGCAACCAGATACACAAAGCCATATGCATTTGTTCTGCTTTTGTTGCTACTGAACGAAGCTTCTAAGTCACAAGCATTAAGGCTGGTATTTACTGAGCAGTTGCACACGAGGACTCATTAGGAAAATTGGGATATCCAAACATGTAAGGAAACCTGAGAAATTAAAGAAAAGATCCACTTACACAGCACAACAATATATATATATATATATAAATAAAAATAAAATCATGATAATTCCCAGTCATTTTGCTCTTCTAAATTATGAGGTCCAACAGCTAGGACCAATTCCCCAGGTCACCCCCAGATGCTTGGTGATGCCCACCACACGTTGCAGCTGAGCAGCAGCAGCACAGACCTAGGTCTTGCTGTGGGGACCAGAGGACTGCATTCTGTGGGGGTCATATACTGTAGAAAGCCTTTGCTACCCCACTTGTCCATCGTGACTGAGTTCCACCAGTGCAAGAGCAGGAGAAAAGGAGAAAAATAAATTATCAGCACCCAGGACACCAACAGACTCTGGTAGCGCTGTTTACGCATTGTATCAGTACTGTCTGTCAGCTTCCAGGAGTTCACGGATGTGTGGCCCTGGTTCTTTTTAAAGGGTGATTTCATAAGGTAAGAGCAGTGCCACTGTGACTAGTATGCTTCAGTCTCTCTTTTCTGCACTCCTGACAGGAAGGGTGGCTGCTGTCAAAAATCAAGGTCACATGAATATAGCAAAATTCACCTTTCCAGCCTTGGATAATGAAAACCAGTTGACTATTCCAAATATAGTAGCAATAAAAAGGCTCATATTCAAGAGAGCAACAAAGCTCAGCAAGACAACCTTCCACCAGCTTTTCAGCACAGCTGTTAACACCACTGAAAATACTACAACATGGGAAAGTCTTCCAAGAAGCCTACCAAATATACCATCACCCTCTCCTAACCCTGGGGATAAATGCAGAACCAGACCTTCACATTTCCAGGAGGTATCAAATAATGCTCAGCAGCCCAGGACAAATTAGAAACCTTTTGTGTCATAGCTGTAGAATTAGTTTTGCAGAGCAAATCTTCCCCTTGCATGAGCAGAAAACAAAACAGGACCTCAGCTGAAGATGGGGTTATGAATAAATGCAAATTCCTAATCAGAATATCAGTATAAAATTATTTCAAGAGACAGACACCAGAATTAGCCTCTGGATCAAACAGCTCTTGTAGATGATATTTCAGTAGGCACATGTAAAGTTCTGAGCTAAAATCTTTCAAAACATGTAAATAGCTTTTCACAAGCTGTAAATAAATATCTTGTCTTAAAATATTTTGTTGCCAAAATGGTAGTCCCTCTTTGTTGCCGTGTTCAAAAATTTTATGCACAACTAGAGCTCTGATGAGAAAGAGGGAGAGGGGCCATTCCCCAAGCTTTGGGCATTTGCCTGGGATGGGGATTTCAAGTTCAAGCTCCTGCTTTGAGATGGGCACCTAAAAGAAGTATTTTGTCTTGTAATGATTTGAGCAGCTCTACATGGTATCTCTTCCACATGCAAGGTCATTTCTAAGCTCCTCCATACAGCTATGACCTCTTTGTCCATTTGTCTCTCCCCTTTGGGCAAATTTATGGCAAAGAGATAGTTCCCTGAGGTCAGATTTTTATCTCATTTTATTCTTAGCATTTCTAGTAAGATGTTTTGAAAGCTCAGGAACTTCTATATGCACCACTTGTCTACATATTTTTCTGTCACTTTTGACTTAGTTGCTCCATTCCTGACGAATGTCTCTTTCAGTTGACAGCTCTCAAGCAAGAATTACCCTTTCTTCTACTTTTTATACAGTTCCTAACATGGTGGGTTGTTGATATGGATTCTTATAATAATCACGGATCATACAGTATTCCTCAGAGGACCATGGCTTTATTGATCCCCATGTCATCATATGCAGCTGGTCTGTTCTAAATATTTCAAATAGTTTGGAACAACTATAAGAAGCTGACCAATGCCTATGTGTGTGTCTTTGGTAACTGCACATACTGATAATGCATAAGGAAGGGTTAAGATTGGCCATATTACAGATGGAGAATGGGGCTTGAAGAAACTTAAAGCTAGTCCCAGGGGACCTATGGCTATGCAAAAAAATGGTTTCCAGATCACAGGCTAATGCCTTAACTGAGGGACCCACCTCCCATTCCAGCAGGCACATGACATCCTGCTTCCCAGCAGTCATGTACTTTGCTTCCAGTGAGGCTTGTAAAATGCAAATTCCTAGTAAAACATGTGACCTTTCCTTTCATGTTTGTGAATAAGATTTTATATATCCTTTTTACGAACAATTCCAACCATTCTCTTAACACCCTGAGTCATAGGTACAGCCATTCTTTGATTTCTTCTGTATTACTGGGTTAAGGCTACAACCTATTCTTCACATATACATGTAAAATAGGTGTGTGTGAATACATATAAATATACACACTCACACACGTATGTAACAGAGGTATATACAGTTTTGACTCTTCCACTTTGCTGTTTTTTTTCCTGTAGGGAATCACTGAGACATAGTAGCCTTATGACTTGAAAGATGAGACTATGATATTGCTATTTTTTGCACTTCCAAGAAGAGTGCAGGTGTTTCAAAGCATTTATGAAATTGCTTGATTGACTCTTATATAGAAATCTATTGACAATAAGTTGAACCTTTGCAGCTTGGCTGTAAAAGATTTGATTATAGTAACAATACTAACCGTCATGAATGTCATAAATCCTAAGAGAAAGGACACATATGTCACATATAATGCATGAAAAAGTTGTCCTTTTATCATGGATAACTTACCATTGTGTAGATACTCTGCTGATCAGCTATTGCATTATTTGAATAAGTATCTGATGTCTTGTTTTCTTTCAAGGAGGCAGGTGCAGGATGAAGCAGGAAGCCTGCCAAGAAAGATGATAAATTGCCACTCGGTGCTGGGGACCAGTGCTTAACATTAATGCAATGCTGCCAGGAATTAAAGCAGTAGAGTAATAAGAAACTAGGAAGAAAATAACTTCTCATCCTCCATTAGTAGATTGGCTCAATTTTCTTTACCCATTATAATTTTTAGTACATCTAAAACAAAACATTGTCATTGTGTCATTACAAGCAAAGTAAAACAGGTTTGGAAAACATCCTATGACTTACAAGCCATGAAACTATGTAATAATGATACCAGTTGCTTTTCTGGAAGGAGAGTAATCTCGAAGCTAACAAGTTCAAATAAAATTACACAGAAAAATAATTGCAAAGAAGTATGGTCTTCAGCTTTCAAAATCCTTACCCACTTTGGCAAGTCCTACTCCCTGAGAGAACTGGCTCATTCAGTAACAGTCTAGTTGGAAGTGACAGAGAGCCCAGAACGTCCCCAGATTCCTTGTTTACTCCTTTAGGACCTTCTGCACTAATTCGATCTGATGTAAGGTAACTTGGAAAATAATTTCTTGTGACTTACATTAGCTTATGTGAGAAATACAGATAAATCTTGTAGCAAATTTATAACTGGGTGCCTACATGTGAGTTAAATGTAGCACAAAATATAGCTTGAGCAGGAAGCTGGTCATTCATGTTGACCAAAAATCAGAAGAATACTTCATAAAAGCTGAGTTCTTAATTGTTTGACATTAGAAATGTGTTCATGCAGCCATTGCATCAATATATGTCAAGGGCCAAGTTACACACACATACTTCCCATTTTCCTGTGCCAGCAAATTAAGCAAAACAAATATATATCTTACTTCTCCTTTGTACATACAATAGAGTATGTGGGGAAAACATAAGTTTCCAAACTTTTCAGACTTTAAAATCTTTGACTTCTGAGGCAGCCAAAGCCGTGCCATAGTCAAAAAGTCAGACAATGATGCTCTGCTGGCATTGTGCTTTCCAGGAGCAAAACTCTGCCAGGAACAGGAATGCTCTTTGCAGGCTGAAGCAGCCCATCTGTTTTCGTTTGTTCTTTCGTAGGTGACCAGGTCATAGTTATTCTAAAAGATTAACCTGCCCAATATACCATTTCTGAGCTGAAGGGTTTATGCTCTTTACCTCATTTTGGAGAGCCTTTCTGCATAGCCTTTGGACAAAAAAACTGGAAAACTTGGCCTTGGAATGATGCTTATTGTATTTGTTTTGAACAATAGTGCAGGATCAAGTCTATATGTATTACTAGAGAGCTGCCTCTGGTAGTTAAACAGGCTTCAATATGCTGTAAGTACATTTTGAAACATTCTTCCCTGTCGTTCAAGAGAAAAACTGCTCTTGCTCTTATATAGCCAGTCCAGTAAGAATCTCTGCTCAAACTATGTTCTAAAATATTCAGGGCTTTACCAACTATGGAAAATATAGATCTGTTATTGCATGTTATTACACACAAAAATCAGCTAAGTCTGTTTGCAACATTCATCCACCAGTAAAATTAAAACTAAATTGAAAAACTGATTGTCAATGTCATTCCTTTTTTTGCACCAGAAAAACTTACAGTAATCTTTATATTTTGAAACTGGGCCATAAGTCAAACAATTTATCTTCTGAAATCTTCATCTCAATAGAGGAAAGATACCTTAAAGCTGTCAAGATGAAAACCATTGAAGAAACATTTTTAAAGCTTGTACAGGATCTATATTCTCACCTATTACATCCAGAAAAGTGCGTGCCATTCAGAATGAATGCTGAAAATCTGTATGCTATTTAGTCTCATCTGCATTTCTTCCAGAACTCTTCATCATATCACCAAGACAAAGGAATGACAGGAGAGAGGAAGACAGTTCACCATCTAGGCAATGATTTTTCAAGTTGTACATCCTTCTGTAAGTTCTGATAATGAAACTATTCATTAGCAAATGTAGATGACATACTAGCTTTAATTGTTACACATGCAGTGTTTCTGGCCATGTCTCAGTTTATCTTAACTAATGCAATTTTCCTCTTTGCAGGTGTGACTGTGGCATGATTAGTATGGTTTCTCACATACTGTTGGTAACAGGAAACCAAGGACAGCAAAATTCAAAATACACGTCAAGCCAGTATGAAGCATTTTAAAGAAAGTTTCCTAAGGAAAGAATGGGGCTCTGGCAAAATCTAAAGAGAAGTGTGCTATTCTATCTACATCTGAAGTGAATGTAATAACCTGATGCCTAGCACTGAATGCAATACCATAAGGGAGGCAGTCTGTAGTTTGGTTGCTGCATCCTTTCAGTCTCTATTTAGCTGTGCCTTCCATGTAATCAGCATAACCTGCTCACGACATACTGGAACCAATTTCAGCCCCAGACCACTGTCACTGTTTGATCTTCTTTAGCTCTCTGCTTCTTTCCACTTCTCATTCTTTCCTTTAGCTAAAGGAAAATCCTCAACAGAACTGTCTTGGCAGGTAGTTGGACTTAGCATATTTGCAGGCTATACATTAATTATTGTCCAAGTGAAGATCAGATTCACTCTGAACTAAATTGCCATTTATGTAAATGTCTTCCTACTGTTGATGTTGGTAGTGGTAAGGTCCAACAATATTTTACCTCTAAATCATGAAACATATGAAACTTTGCTTTGTTTCCAAATCATTATAATTATGCTTTTTGTGATACATCTTTCCCCAGTTCTAGTGCTCCAGCAAAGAATGTCTGGTATCAGGCATTCATTCACTGTTGTGTACATAACCAAAGCTCAAAGCTCAGTTCAACCAGGGAAAAAAAATGTCACTAGTTAGACTGAAAGTTTCCTAAAGGATAAAAAGGCATTTGCAATGATTTAGACATTTTGCTGCAAATGAATTGTGAAGATATATCACTGATATACTGGCTTACTAACAGAGAAAGAAGTTTTCAAAGAACTTCTGAGAAGAGAAAGAGCAGGGAAATATCCACAAAATTTAATTTTCAGCAAGCCAGGGGTTAAAGAGTGTGTACAGTATCCAGATTCTCCAGGGCTTTTCTGCATGTGTAGTCATGTAGACTATGCAAAGTAACTGCATGGGTTGTACTTGACTCCCAGTGTTGCTAAATGCCGATTCAAAGCAGGAAACAGGGAAGAAAGAGAGTCCAAGAATTGTTTATGTTTCACTGCATATTTCTCTGGTAGGTTTTTAATATAAGGAGAAATAAAAAGAAACTTTCAAATGACTTTGTTTTTATTCTTTTAGGAAAATAATTGAAATATTCCTTTTGCAACATAGTATTGAGATTACTTTTTTGATCCTTTTCTTTTGGGTCTAACATCAGCAAATGTATTCCAGCTAAAGTTATGCTCCAGGATCAGGTAATCTGGAACAGCATTCATTGAAGTGAACGGTATTTTCAATATAAATCTCAATTAAAGAGTAATAACTTAATTCTTTTAATTTACCTATCAGTCACCCTGCTGACAACAGTGGTCACCCTCAAGACTACCAGCAGGAAGATCAAACCCCAGCCAAGTGACTGACTTAATTTCTCAGCCAAGCAAGAAGAGCAAGAAATCCTGACCCAGCAACATATACATTAACTAATCTCAGCAAGACAAAGAGAAAGCAGCTACTGCTTGTTTATTGATTTTCTGTACTATGTTCATGTCTGAGAAACCTGAAAAGGAAAACATACAGGACAAGTGACAGGCAGCCTCTAGTATTCTCGTGACTTACGATAAGTTATGTTGATATTTCCCAAATAATCAGTATTAAATATATATATATATATAGCAGAGAAATCCATACAATGATGGATTTTGTTTTGACATTATCAAATGTTCCACAGTGATATTTCATCCTTCCAATTTGTTTTCTGTCTTGTATCATAACACAAATTATAAAATAAAAGATGAACAGTAAAACCTGGAACAAAATATTTTGAATTTACAAAAAAATTGCTTGGGATTTTTTAAAATAGTAATAAAATCAGTATGATTCTGGGAAACATATTGGTTTCCTGAAATCAAAAATCATTTAAAGGAAAATACATGAACAGGAAATTTTCAATCAGCCCAAATAAAAAGTCTAAGGTTTTTCAGAACCATTTAAGAAATCACCTTAGTATTTCAGAAAATATTTCAGAATTCAAATTAATGAGGAGAACTTTGTTTAGCTTCTGTTCATCATTTCTTTTAGTTCATTCTTACATTAGAAAAACAGCCATAAATGAAAAATCTTAATGACTGAACATCATCATTATGATACAGAGAAGAGACCAGAGGCAATTAATTCTCAGTATTTTCTTTACCACATGGGCAATATATGTCAGTGCATAGACAACGTTTTTATAGCTATGGAACAAAGATTGTAGTGCTGTTCATTTACACATTCAATCTGATTAAACATTTTAAAGATGGCAAAGAAAACAATGCAGAATAAGTATGACATTTGAGACTAACCTTTCCTAGAAAAAGGGACTAACTTTTGACTGACATATTTGGATACAAGGCTAGAGAACACCTTAACAGTTTAACATTATCTCATTAGAATCAATTCAGTACTGAACTGAGATAATTCATAAGAGAATTTTATGTTGATGGACACAATAATGCAGCTGGAAAATCATGCGTCCATCCTTCTGCTTGAATCTAGTCACACAGAGATACAGTTTGCCCTCTACTAAATACAATGATTTTGGACTAGCACTTTTCATGCCTTTTCATGGAGATTTTATTGTCTACCATTAATTTTGTAGCATGATAGCATGCTTTAAAACACAGTAGAAACTTGACTGAGTAGACTCAGTCTAAATGTGAGCTTAGAAATTTCATTTTAAATTTTCTTTTTTGATTTTAAACCTTGGTGAAGAGCACACTCATAAAAAGCTATGCTCTCTGCAAAAGCATTATGGTAGGCATGAGAAGGAATGAGCAGGCAAACTTACCTAAGAGATATGGCTCTGTTTTGTAAGACAAAATATTTCATATCGGGACAAAGAGGAGCCAGTGGATGGAAGAAGTCCTCCAA